GATACCGGACCCTTCACCCGTCAAGATGGCTTTCAAAACCGTCAAAAGGTCTATAGTGTGGCTTACGGCAGTACGAAAATTGAATTTTTAATATTGCCTCTGCTTCACCTCGTCAGTCCAGTTCAAATCAAATACAGAATATTCTGTAAATTCCGTGTTTTAGAGTATTACGTATATTCCGTATTTTACAACTGATTGCATGTATTCCGCCATTCCGCCGAATAGGGTCACCCAAATATTGGGGAGGACATCATAAAAAAATATAGGAGACCGGTAGGACTTTTAAATCGATGAAAGTGCCTCACAAATTTTGCAACTTCATTTTATAATATACTTCATAATTTGTTTCCCCAATAATATTTATGATATTTAGATGATAACCAATGCACAACGCACAACTTGTCACATTACCGATTGGACAGCATACCATGCACTCAAACTCTTGCGCAGGAAAGTTACAGTATGAAATTATTTTTTGCTGCACTCAGTCACATTCACGGCTTTACACCGAAACCTTGGCTAAAAGGTCTCTTTTTAGATCTGTAGATTTGTAAGGTATTTCGAAATACCCGCGCATGTCTTTCACTAACCTTGAAAGATGAAAGTTTGTTGCAGTGATAATTATGACAAAGATTGTAAACATCAAATATAATTGGATGTTTTAAGCCCAAATATTCTATCACCTCTTCAACAGCATGGAGGGAAATGGGCGCTTACGCTTTTTTGCAAGCGGTATTTCGGTAATTTGGATTTTAAAGTGGGGTATTGCGGTATCATTTATATTTAGCCCTGCGGTATGCGGTATTTCTTCCTTTTGGTTAACGGTATTCGGTAAAAGAAGATCACGGTATTGCGGTACTGTTCATTGCCCTGTTTAATGCTAGCCTGCGTACCAGGCACGGTTTAGATGACCGCTCGCGTGTCTCCCTCGCGCGCGTTCGTTCTCTCTCGCGCCCACTACTTCCAAGCGCCTGCTACGCAGTCTAGTTTAATGCACGTCAGTATTTTTAAGACTTTAGATTAATGGTAAATGATTACCATTACACAATTTCTGACAGATAATCTGTGATGAAATTGGTAGGGTATCTTTTTCGTTCGTTGTACCGATCAATTCGAGGCCGTCTCACGTTTCCTCGCAAAATTAAATTAAATTGATTAAATACCTCAATACCGTGAGAAAAATTGGTAAATACCGAAATACCGTGTCAAAAATCGACGAAATACCGATACCGCATTTATTTTCGGTATTGGGTACCTACCAATGTCCCCCCTAGCATGGCGCAACTTCGTCACCTTTCTTCAGGTCCGCTGACCCCTACACGCGCTGACCCGTAACGTCCGTTGGAATGTATGTAACGAAATACAAGCAGCCCACATTCAAAGTACTTGGAGACTAGCTGAGGCTCAATTCATCATCATTAATAGCAAAAACATCAAACTGTCTCATTCACGATTTCTGGTGATAGGAAGACTGTTTTTTTAACTTATATTTCACGTATTTGTTTGGATCCCGCTGCAGGTCGGACAAATGAACGCTGTCACGCGACAACATTTCCAAGATTCAACTCTCCTTAGCAGATGGTAATTTCGAGTTATTCTCTTTTTCTGCGAATCTTTCATTTTCCTTTCTCTTTAAATTCTATATGCTTCTATTTAGGATGGTTTTGAGCGCCTAGCAAGGCTTAAAGTGGCGTTTACCACGCTATCCTTGGCCATATTGGCAACAGAGAAGTGTTTCGACGAAGTGGCAACTTAACGGTAAATAAGGTAACTTTGAACGGTTTTTGCAACGTCAGTATACTTTGGCCGAAAAATGTTTTTCCGAAAACATGATGCATATCCCTCCAATGTCTGATTCATCACTGTGATTGCTTTCAGCAGCGTTGGACTTTCGAGAAATTATTATTTTAAAATCAGCTCCAACGCTCCATCTAATTTAATATGCAATATTTGAAAATTTATTTTTTATTCCCTTCGGCAGTTTTTCGATGTTTATCGAATGATATTGCATTAAAAGGCCCTTTTCTTCATCACTGTGTGGTTTTCTCGTTGTTTTGCGTCGCGATAGTGATTTCTGAACCGTTTTTTGCGAGAGCTTATTTTAGGCCTGATTTTGCTGCTATCAGACGGAAAAAGTTTGCGGCTCGATATTTTTGGTTTAAAGCGAAACTGAAACAAAAGAAATTCATTTTTGAATAGTATTCGGTAACCTCTACTTGGGAGATAAAAATCGGCCGATTTTATTTTTTAGCCGGAAATCATCGGTCGTTTCTTAGGCGCAGGGCCTCTTAAAAGTCATATGGATATCCCCAGTTAACTGATTTGTGGATTACGACGGACTTTATTGTTTGATTTAAATTATAAATTTATCAACTGGAGGTACGCTTTTAGCCTCGGCTAAATGTATATATTATTTACAACAGGCCTTTGCTGGGCCCACGCGGTAGGGTAGGCCTTCCGAGTTTGGATGTTAAAAGCACGTAGAGTATTTTCAAGCAAAAAATGCTTTAATGCATGGCTGAAGAAGAACTTTAGTTGTAGTTTGTCTTGGGCCTTCTGTTTTACAGGGACAACCTCTGTTTGCGTTGTTGATTCGTTTTGTTGAGCAAGTGCTTCGACACGAACAAGAGATCCTATTTTCCTAAAAGAGAGGAAGGCGAAAACGATAATTCGGGTTTGAACCATAAAAAAACTACTTCTGACAATTCACAAATTTTTGCATGTCACCTCTACAACATCGAAGGAACTTACCGTTACGGAACTCTCCAGCTCACGCGTGGCCATAATTCTAACTCCTGATGGTCCAGATGGATAAAATGTATTGTAAACTGGCTAAAGACAACTTCTAGGGGGGCTAATCTGACAAAAAATCGGAGAAACCGACGGATCTTCCTCAAGTCCAATATGGCCGACAGCTCGTTGCTTCAGCTTGTACTGCGCAAATCTCGCACATGCGCAGGTCGTGACATAGTTCCTTTAAAGTTAATTAATTGCAATTTGTTTAGTTGTGGTGAATGTTTATTAGCTTTTTTGCAAGGAATACCATTGTTGTTCGTGTACGTTTTTTGAGATATTTTTATCACTTTGAAAATGACAGAGTTCCTATAAAATTGTATACAATTTTTAGTAGGTTTAGTTATTGTCTCAACAAAAACATAAACTGAAACAATGTTTTCTTATGGCTTCACTTATACAAAGTTTTTGTGTCTCTTCAGTCTTTTGCAGTAGGGAGTTTGGCAATCACACCCTCTGCAACACCATACCCCCGGTTTGAATGTTTACATGAAGGAAAATGTAAATTATAAGGAACAAACACCGACAGGAGGGTAGTTGCCCCAAAACTGTTCCACCCCTCCATCAGGGTAGCTAAATAAGACGCGAAATTCCCCTTGAGCATAAAAGACAAATTAAGGATTTATTTCTTCCTATTATCATGATTATTGTTATCATTACCAAATTACTACAAAATTATTACAAATTACGACAGTTATTATAAATTACGACAGTTATTACGAATTACGATAAAACAGTCGCTCATTACATTTAGGCCTTCTGTATGTTCGTTTCTAAAAAACATTTTAAAAAATTGACCAAAAAGTCTTTATTTTTACTAACTGAAAAAAGAAAACGTAGTTGTAGTTCAGCAACTAAAAAACGTAATTGATCAAACAACATTCGACGTCACTTCTTTATAATCTATTGTCACACGTCGGTCTCTATTGGTAACCGAGGAAAAGTGGCATCGCTTGTTTCCTTTTTATCGCCAGCTCTCTTAGGGATCTGGAGTTTCTGGTCTCTTTTTAATTGCCTCGTGTGTATCGATGGATTGCAGACTTCCCAAATAACGTTGGTATCATGATCAGGGGACACGCTGTCATTGTCCCTACGATCATTCTCCATTTCATGTTCAGTTCCACCAGTGTTTCGAAGAGTTGACGGCGACACTAACGCGGAATTTGAAGCTCTTGTTGCCAATGGAATCATAGGCGACGCTTCCTGGTGAATTTCTTCCTGTAATAAGCAATGAATCACGAAAACTAAGCCACAAAGCTCTAATGGCATAAACTGAGCCTTGTCAGTGACATATGTCAGATTTTCTCATTTGTATACTTTTTGTTGTTATTGTCTCATTATTATTATTATTGTTATTATTATTTATTTATTTATTTATTTATTTGTACAGGTTGTAATCCCACTGATTCGGGAGTCAGAATGGGTTCATTTGCCGTTAATGAAAGAAACATGCGCAGGGAAAAAAGGAACCCTGTAGTTCCGGTCTCAACTATATCCATCCTAAAGAAATTAGACAGGACTTAAATTGTTAAACTGACTTAAAGATGGACTAACGTATAAACCGACTGGTATGAGTGCAGGTAACTCTTGTCTTGCGGACAACCGATTTTCCGATTGAAATTCGGCTTCAAATAACTTTTGTCTCACTCTTACGGTATGTGATCACTATATTGGCCGACTTAGTAAGGAGTGAACCCACTTATACCTCTTCCAATTGACGTGTTGAGTCAACTTTATCTGATAGTGACACTAACATAGCATCGAACTCTTTGACCAGTTCCTCAAATGTAGGTCTTTGCATCGGTGACTCCTGCCAACATTTCAACATAATCTGATACCTAAGGAATAAAGAAAAACCCAAAACACGCACAATATGTTTCTCAATACTACCGGATGTCTTTTTTTTGGTTCTTCCATTCGCCACTTGCACGTCTCCAAAAACACACCTTGTTTGCCCCAAAATTTTGCATACGCATTGCTTTCAATTTCTCTTGGGACAGTGAGAGCGCCGTTGCTGCCATCCGGGACCTTATTATATATATTCTTAACTCATGACAACTAAGCCGTGGGAGCAGGGACCATGTGGTCCCTTCCTTCATTCTACATCTTTATACATTTTAATTTGAGAGTACCAGTAGTTTTTGTTGGTTGTCTTACTTTGGCCTCGGGTGGGACTCCTTTTTTCATTCACCACGATAATTGAAGCTTGTTTGGCTACTTACATGTTCTCTGGACAGGTGAGTGGCTTTTTCATTCGGTATCCAGATTTTAAAAGCTCAAACAAAGTTTCTAGAGGAACGCCGGGATATGGAGACCCTCCTAGAAAAGAGCATTTAAAAGATATTAATAAATTGTGACTATTATCCACTAAAAAAGTGTAAATGGTATTTTCTTGCTAAGGAAAAGGCCTTCTTATTTTATGGCAAATGTTCCTTTCCTATTTTCCTCGTCAACATAAAATGCCACTTACGTACCAAAAGTAACCATTTCCCATAAGAGTATTCCAAAGGACCACCTGATGAAAGAGGAAAGAAAACAAATTAACAGCTCTTTGGGTTTATAAACGGTGTCGAGGAAATTTAGTCCAGTTTGTTTAGTTTTACTATTTATTCACTTTGAAATTAAACGTTCAGTGCGAAGGAATTATCGCCTGAATGGCAAAACCTCAGCTTTAGAACAAGTCTCCTGCGTGTGATCATTCAAGTTCATAGTACAACCGATTGAAACTTTGAGAAACTGTTAGGCTGAACAGTTTTTTTTAAAAAAACTCAACTGCAATCCGCATACGATATCCTAAAAATGGACAACTTGTTTGAAGGCTTTCGTATGGCTGAATTTTGCTAAATTTTGTGATACGACAATTAAATTACACCAGGTTCACTAAAAAGCATTTCATATATGTCACTACTTAGCAGTTACTAAGTAACATTTCAAGGTACTTACACGTCACTTTGTGTACTATAGACGCGATCAAAGAGGGATTCAACGGCCATCCACATGACTGGAAGAAGCCCCTAATTGAAGATGTATCACAAAATTAACATGAAGAGAATGGTGTATAACAGTATAACAGTATAACCATGAATTAGGGCCTGTGTGACATGGAAAGAGGGTGCCTCTATAGAGGTCAGGGGAACTCTACCTCCCAGCATTTAAGTTTCCGCCGTTCTTTTCGTATAGTAAGTTTAACATGCTAGGGGCACCCTCCCTTACAGGTTCAAGAGATTTTACATGAGCAGAAAAGTTCCTATATCAGGGGGGCTGAATTATTGATTGCAGATTTCTCGCTCTCTTTCTGGGACTGGTTTTCGGTTATTTTGACTTCGAGGGTATGACCCTCCTTCGTAAAATGCTTTCTGTCAGGGTCGTTTGCTGCCATTCTTTCGAGTTGATGTCTACGAAAATATTTGTCAGGTTACAAGCATGCAGAAAGAAGGTAGGGAATACCTACCCCAAGAGGCACCGTCCCGTGCCTGTAAAACGAACTGCGTGAAACAAAGGAGGAAGGAAACTCAACTACCCAGGATGGCCCTACTAATAAGAGGCACCCTCCCTCATGTAAACAAGGTAAATGGAAATTTTAAGCTCAGGAAAGACAAAATTGCTGATCCAGTCATAAGGCAGCTCAATGTAATGTTGTGGTTGTTCAAAAAAGGCAAAAAAAAGAAACCTTTGAAATTTACTTCGTTTCATCGTTTAACTTGATCGAAACAACAGCGCGCAATACAAAAAGGCAGGCCGGAAAGGATGGTCCAAAAGTTCTTTTACAATGGTACAGATGACACAAGCACATGGCCGGGAAATAAAAATGAAAACTGTAACGAATTGGTAACTGTATCGTAACACCCAGGACGAAAATTACTTTTCTCTTACGACAATGCGTTATCTTCTTGAAAGGGGAGGGGGAGGGGACATTCATTGAAGAGGTGTACCCTCTTGTTTGAAAATCAACCATATTTTTAGGATCTTTTAAGCGCTTCAAGCACACTATACTAAGAAGTACTCACGTCTGTTGTTTTTCTGTAATAACCCTTTAGATGCACGTCTCTACATAGACCAAAGTCGGCAATTTTCATGGTATTATCCTCGGCAACTAAAACGTTTCTGGCCGCAAGATCACGATGAATACACTAATAAAAAGATAAGAAATTTTTTATCGACCTTAGCCTTAGCTGATGACTTCTCTTTTCATGCATACCCAATGGCTTCCTGAAGATCGAGCCCTTGGTAACTCGTAGCTCGCGAAAACACGAATCAGCGCCCACTGGGTTTGATCAATACTTATAAATGTAACCTGAACAATAAAAATAACAAAACTGAACAGAACAATGACAAAAGGAATCTAACATCATGATATGTTTTCACAGTTAAAGTTGGGTTGGAAAAGGATTCTTGCCAAAACTACATCACTGACCCCTCAATACCCACACCACATTAGCGCACACATTCCAAATTCCCAAATTCCACTAAATCACTTATTTCACGCAGTGCATGGTGTGAGTAAGAAGCTCACTTATTCCGGCAGTCATCGGAAAAATACCACATCTTGACACACACCTTTTTCGAAGACAGATATTCCATTCCTCTGCAGACCTGATAAGAGAAGGAAACCAGGTCCATGTGCGTCAGTGTTGAACCGTTCTCTCTGACTGGCCTCCTGTCTCTCAATGCAGTTAAAGTTGTGGGGATTTCCCTGGTTGGCCTCCTTTTTCTCAAAAATTGTCTTAAGTTACCATTTGGAGCGAATTCTACAACTACATATAGCGGACCTGAAGGATAAAAGGAATAATAACAGTTTAGCATTGTAAAAACACGTCTAATTTTACAAAATGTTGGGAATTCTATTTTTTGCCTTGCTGATATGACCTGCAATGTTCTTCGGTTAAGTAATATATAACTTCTGAATACCGACTGTGATTTAAGCAATCACAAGTGCAGAATTGAATAAAAGTACTTTTACTTTTTGGTTCAAGGCTGCATAAGATGTTCTTATGACCCATTTTCAATGTTACCTATAACGTTATAACAAAAAGATTCCGCAGGATGATAAAGAGTGTACCTTCAAGTTTACAGAAGGGATATATTTTTTCTTGTTTTCGGTAGGGGAGAACTCCAATTTCTCCACCCAATTTGTCCGTCAACTAACCTCCTTGAGTGCAGGCGCCAATCAAATTGATTATGTTCTTGTGTTTTCCAATGGTCTTCATTAGCTCCAACTCTGATACAAGATCTGTGTGTTCCTGTTCCGTGGCATCCTCTGAAATGCAGGAGATTGACATTACAGTCCTGATGTTAAATATTTAAGTATTATATGACCTCCACCACGCTAGTTTGAAAACGCAAGCATTTTTGGGCCTTCTGGCATTGTGCTCATACTACAAAAAATGGAAGTTTTAGAAGACCTCCATTAAGTTTCTAAACACTTGTATATTTAACAAGTCAAAAATGGCGGGAAAAGAAGGAAGTAGCACTGTTACTTGGAGTAGGCGCGCTAAATAATACAAATATCTGATAATAACCTGGCGACTGCGAAGACTCATTGTCATGCACCAGAAACAATGCCAAAACGATGGTTTCGATGTGGGGCTTTCGAGGCGGACGCTTTCGAACACGTTAGTATAAAAGTGTCTAAAAACCACGAGTACCCGCCTATTTTTGTCTCATATTTTTCTTGTCTTGTTGTTGTTCTTTTGTTTCACTTAGGCAAGGTATCAAAGTTTGAGTCGCTATTTTGCAGTGGGGCATACATTTTTAAAACATTCTACTTGCTCAATCCATCTCACAATTAATTAGCAAGAGATGGAATACTTCGTTCTTGGAAATAGACAGGGGGATCACGATAGTTGTATCGGAAAAAATTGGAGAATCCTTTTCCAAACTATAGTGAGATAACAGTAGGAGAATTAGCGGCTACGAAATGTTTAAGGGAAGTGCCTTCTTCGGGTGTGTATACAAAACCTGCGCTAGGCCACTGATAAGCCTGTGTCATGCCTTACCCTGTGGCCTACCGCGGCTATGGCTTGTCGCGCTGCTTCAAACTTTTTCGCGCATATTTCATCTCGTTTAATTCGTCAAATGATGATGATTTCTTGAGTTGATTTCTAGAAGACTGTATCAAAGTTAAAGAAAAGAAAAAGAAAGTCTTTGTCTTGTGTTCACGTTCTCCAAAAAAACGTTAAATAGGCATTTTCACATCGTAGTCGTGCAGTGACGGCAAAGAAATGTAAAAAAAAAGTGTAATGCACGTCGTGTATAGTTATTTTGCCAATCTAAACCTATTGCTTTTTACTGGGCTGCCTGTGCGCCCAGTCATAAAATGGGCTTTCGGTAGTCGGTGTCAAAAAGTGGTCTCCCGGGGGAGGGAAGACACGAGGGTCTGGTACCGAGAAACGATGTTCTCACAAATGGTTTCATATGAGTTTCTCTTGCACGAACCCCTGCACGGATACTTTTTGTACCTCGTCTGCGCTCCCCCTGAAAAACCCACAAAGCGTTGCGAACCTGAAGAAGGCTATTTGCGTTGTTCGAAGCGATTCGATCATGGGAGTCACTCTATCATTTTTTTATTGTTCGAGTTTAAGTCAGTTAGATGATGTTGGCGCTGGGAAACTCAGAGAAATGCTCGCGTTGCATTCAAACCGACACGCTGTTCACGGTAGGTTCACACTAAAAAATGACTGTGAGCGTCAGGTTTGGAACGCCGTGGCCGCTTCGTGAACTCAAAGAGAGAATTATCGATCGATGTAGTACATGAGCAATTAAGAAGCACAATTTATGAGCAACGTATTTCACCAGTTGACGACACTATGGCTGAAGAATTGATTGTAAGCCTTCGTAGTCAGTGAAGCGAACAACTCAGTTGCCGATGAATGGCACTACGCACGTCTATGAGCGAGGGACGTGACAACTTTGCCATGTTAGAAGACTGGCTTTTCCTTTAAATATTTCCTTCTATTTAATGCAACACACGCCACTTTGGAGGCCTAAATTTCGGATACTGAGGATAAAGAAGACACGGACAAAAATAGGGACTCTGAGAATTTCGCGCACCATGCACAAGTTTAAAGCGGAACATCCCATCCGGGAGCTTCACAGAGAGCGACTTGAGGACTATATATAGGAGCTATTACTGACAAGGTTCGGTGACTGAGAAGAGCATACAAGTGTAGCCCACGTCGAGGTTTCAGGGGGTTTGCTTTTGTTTGTTTGTATTTGTATCTTGCTAAGCTTTTATCATTAAATTTGTACATGATCTTGTGATCACAATTCTGTGTTTTCGCCCATTCAGCAAGCACCCTATATTGATGTCAGCATTAGCGAGTTTCAGAAACATGCCTTTGAAAGTTTTTTAGCTCTCGTGATGTTTCTTGATATTTCTTTTACCATTTTATGAAGATGTTAACTGAAGTCACCGCAAAATGGAAACTTAAAAAAGCGTATAATCCATTTATCTCGAAACATAACACACATGACCTATACGACCTTTGATGATGATGATGATGATACCTTTATTAAAGTGTCAAGACTGTAATAGCGGTGTATAACCACTAAGTGGGGACACTAAAATAAATTTAAAAAATAAATCAATTAATAAATTAATTAAAATTAAGAAAAACTATGTACAGTATAAGCAAGTGTGAAATTCGAGAGAATTATATACAATATGTACAAATGTATCCATTATCTTATAAAAAAATAAGAAATAAAAGATTAAGAAGTGCAAAGAGAGCAGTTAGAGCAGTTATTGTCAGCTAATAGCATGCTAAGATCCACTTTTCTTATGTTATATTTGAAGGAGGACAACGTGGAAGCTTTTTTCACGTTACTAGGAACAGAACTCCATACCCTTGGGCCCATATACCTGAGCGAGTGCTTTCCAAAGGAGACTGTGTTGAATCTGGGTATAGTGAAGTCATGATTGCGCAGTTCATACTTAATTGCAGGCTGTTCAAAGAGAGTGCTAATGTAGGTTGGGCACATGTTGTTTTTAACTTTATACATGAGAATAGCTATGTCCTGTAGTCGCCGGTTGTGTAGAGTCGATAGCCCAGCCATAGATAGTAATTGACCATAGGACGAATGTTTATCACAATATATAGCCCTAAGTGCTCTTTCCTGGATACGCTCTAGTCGTCTAGAATCACTAGCACGGCAAAAATGCCATATAAGGTGACAGTAGGTTAAATACGGAAGAACAGCTGCCTTATATAACTGTAACTTAGTTTGTGTGGGTATAAGGTTCCTGAGCCTCATGAGAACGCCTACCCGCTGGGCGCTCTTCTTAGAGATACTACTTATATGTTCATCAAAACGAAGATTGTTATCAATACAGACACCTAATAGCTTGAGACATTCAGTGGATCTGACTTCATGATTGTCAATCATAATACTGTCCATAGACTTCCTTCCGCAACCAAGTGCCATTGTCTGGTACTTGTCCAAATTTCCCTTTAGTAAATTAGCTCTGTACCATGAAGATGCTGACTCAGCGCAAACAGCAAGATCATCATGCACATCAGAGAGGGTGCTGCGAACGACATAAAACTGGTGGTCATCTGCATACATATTCATGTTCGCATCAACAGTATAAGTCAAATCGTTTTGGAAGATGTTCCAGATGAGAGGTCCAAATGCAGAACCCTGTGGGCATCCCCTTGTCACCCTCTGCCACTCGCTCACTACAGATCCTAGCTTGACCCTGTTATAACGGTCTGTGAAGTAGGAGCCCATCAATCGCAGACTTCTTTCCTCAACACCATAAGCTTTAAGTTTTGCAAGTGTAAGTGGATGGTAAAGTGAATCGAAGGCTTTGCTCATGTCCGTGGAGAGAACACCCACAACGTTATGCTCATCCAGAGCGAATTTCCAATTCTCAGTCAAAGATAAGAGAGCTGTCTCACAGCTATTGTTTTTCCTGTAAGCTGTTAGTTTGTCGCACAGTTTGTTATTAAAACCATAACTGAGTTGCTTGCTGAGTAATTGTTCAAAGAGTTTGTTTACAGTAACTTGTACAGTTATGGGTCTGTAGTTTCCCATTTCATGGGGATCGTCCTTCTTAAAAACGGGTGTCCATTCACCCCTTTTCCATCCAAGGGCCACTCTCCGAGGGTTATACATGAATTAAATAGTGACGTCAATGGATTTGTTAGCTCAGTAGCTCCAAGCTTGAGCGCCATGGGAGGGATGCCGTCCCAGCCTGTACTCTTCCTTACATTGACGTTTTGCAGCGCCTTTTCAACTTCAAAACTCTGAAGATTCTGAAACTGGAAGCCCTGATATCCTGTCATCTTCTGCGTAATATTCTGGACACTAGGGTGGGTGGCGAGAACTTTGTCATCAACCGCACTGGTGTTTCCAATCCCATCAGCCACAATAGCAAAATATTCACACAAGTGATTAGAAACCGCACATTGGTCTCTGCAGATGGTCCCGTTGATACTTAGGCTGAGCTCATTTGTGTTGACCTTGTGCTTATCAGTCAGAAAGGGCATAAATGTCTTATAGAACTCACTCGGCTTGCACTTAAGCTTAGTGGCTTGCTCTTTCCAATATGTCCTTATTGCCTTTCTCCGGAGTCGGGTGGCCTCGTTTCTGGTTATCCGCCTAGCTTCCCAGTTCTCACTGGTTTGTTCCTTGAGATACTTTTTTGCTGCCCTCCTCTTAGCTCTTATGGCACCTTTCCATTCTTTAGCCATGTATGGAACATCCTGAGCAACATCCTTTATTTTCGTAAAGGTGTTTTGAATACGAACGAACACAGTCAATGTGAGGGGCAAAAACAGCATTAATATAAATGAACCATAGGGTTTTAACTAATATAAGGGTCAATTATTGTGCATTGAGATGAATCGCTTGAAAAGAGAGACTTCGCTTGAAGATGTGATCAGAAGTAAACAAAGGCATAATAGTTCGTCACGTTCAGTCTTTTTAATATCCAAGGAGTCACTGTGAATAGTGTTTCCATATTGTTTAGCTGGCACAAAAACTTCGGACGAGTTATAAAGCGGCATAGTTATCTTCCATGAAGAAAAGTTCGTCTTGGGTGAGACAAACAGAACTGGAGCGAATTTTTAACTCGCATCGGTATCAGGTAAAAAATATGTTATCGATCGTTTCATCTATTTACATTGTTTGAAGTGCGTGCTGGTGAACGCAACATGCGAGCGAGAAGTCTTTAAACTTTTTAGGTCTCAAAGTGCAAAGGATTTTATTCCTTTAAGTTAGAGAAAAATACCATGAGGAAAATCTTAAAACTGAATATTTTTCTTCTTGTGGAAAAAATAGTGCGTTTTCTTGTAGATTGTGGACCGCAAATTAGGATTGCTGTCAATCATCTTAACGGACCTCTTAGGAAACAAAACTCTACTTCACGGGTTCAAAAGGTCATGGTTTGTGATTTGCGGATTTCGATCCGTTTTGTGTGGGCGCTTTCCATTTAGTCAAAATTTCCGGAATTTCCGGTTCGGCGGTAAATGGAACACGTTTCGTCGGTTCGTCCCACTGGAAAATTCCCAGAAAAAGTGGAAAATCTAAAAAGGTGGTCCCGTTTTCCCAGTTGGAATTTCCGAACGGAATGTCGTGTTCCATTTACGTTTCTTGTAGTTTGTACCAGTTCCAGGTCCACGGTCGGGCACCCAGCCACGTACCGGGGTTTACGACCAAATGGAACAACTTTTTACCAATCGGAAATTCCACTTTTGCTACCACCGAAATTTCCGGGGTTTTTTCGTAAATGGAAAGCGCCCTGTGTTTCTCTGTTTCAAGGTTCGTTGCTTTTGATCGTAATTATGATTGACGGCAGCGATAAACACAATTGCGAAGGTGGCTTTTGAACTTTAGAGTTCGCATGTTTGTGAAAAGCGCAGTAAAAGTCTCCGTGCAGTCAGTGAGGCCCCTGGATCAGGCGGGATCAATGGGCAGTTAACTGTCTGTTTTAGTATACTTCTGGTTTTCATATAATACAATATTTCTGTCTAGTGTAAATCAGCTCATTATACTCGTAGAACGACAACAATTTTTGGAATTTCCAGTTACGTCACGTTATACTGTCACGCTATATTTTGGGGCACAGGGGGATTAGGGGAGGGGTACGTGGAAATAATGCAAATTGTTTCCTGCTTAGAATTAATGGCTAACTTGTCTATTTTTATTCATAGTGTTGGAATTTAAAAGTTATTATACAGCCCCCACTTAAAAATGGTACTCTTTTTTTGGGGTTACGAAAGTCTTTCAAAAGGGTACAATGTTTTGAATGAGTTTATGTTTCAGTCTCACATGAGGTTCTGTCGCATGCAATGGTTGCCGACAAGGTTTTATGGTAGCCTGAGAGTGTATAGCCGCCCCCTCCCCTCAGAAAAAATAGCCCCTTGGCAGCCCAGTTAAAAATCGCCTTTCGGCGATTCTTGTTTCCGTTGTCAAATTCCGTCGCCGTCGTCGTTGCTTTTAAAAGCTCCCTAGTCTTGCTCCAAAGTACGGCGCTTAGGAGAGGCGGCGCCCTTTAGAGTAAATAAGGTAACATTAAAAAGCATCTGTTCTTTTGTTTTCGTGGTCTGGCGATATGACCCTATTTGCTTCTGGTCCTGGGTTTGAGGCTTAACATTTTCCCTTTTCTTCTCTTTTTTTTAACTTTCTTTACTTTTTTATTCTTTTCCTTTTCCTGTTCTTTTTTCCGTCTTGACTTCTTTCTATTGCGGCCAAAAATGCAAAATTTAATGATTGCAATGGCAAAGCTTGGTTTTGTATACAACACCTAAATCCAAAACTCACCTTTTATCATTTTGACCGCGACATGGCATCTGAAAGGCATATTGGGAATTCCAAACATCTCCGCCTTCATGACCCTTCCAAACGCGCCTTCTCCGAGGACTTCCTGCAGGTTGATAAGTTCTCTGTCGATCTCCCAGTTTTCGCCCACTGACATGTCTACTTCGGAAACCTTAGTGGCAGATTTTAAAGAGGAATTAGTGAAAAGATGTTAAATATTGGTAGTGATTGCTAATAGTAATAGTAATAATAATAAGCAGAGAAACATTTTCGTGGATTATATTTCAAGAGATATTGAGACATAATGATCTTTTCTTTTTGTTCTAACAGATGTTAAGATACAAATTTCGTTTTAATTCTTTTTTAAGTGAAGCACTGTACATAGGTCTTTTTATGAGTATTGCATAAAGATTTTCTTTATTATTAATGTTATAATTTGTTATTATGACTTGCCGTTAATGAAAGAAAAATGCGCCGGGAAAAAAGAATCGTTTAGTTCCGGTCTCAACTATATCCGTCCTAAACAAATTAGACAGGATTTAAATTGTTCAACTGACTTAAAGATGGACTAACGTATAAACCGGCTGATATGAATGCAGGTACCTCTCGCCTTGAGGACTATAGACTTTCCGATTGAAATTCGGCTTCAAATAACTTTTGTCTCACTCTTACAGTACGGTATGTGATCACTATACTGGCCGGCTTAGTAAGGGGTGAACCTACTTATACCTCTTCCAATCGACGTGTTGAGTCGACTTTATCTGGTAGTGACACCAACATAGCATCGAACTCTTTGACCAGTTCCTCAAAGGTAGGTCTTTGCATCGGTGACTCCTGCCAACATTTCAACATAATGTGATACCTAAGGAAGCAAGAAAAACCCAAAACACGCACAATATGTTTCTCAATACTACCGGATGCCTTTTTTTCTGGTTCTTCCATTGCCTCTTGCACATCTCCAAAAATGTACCTTGTTTGCCCCAAAAATTTGCAAAAGCATTGCTTTCAATTTCTCTTGGGACAGTGAGAGGGTCGTTGCTGCCATCCGGGACCTTATCATATATGTTCTTAACTCATGAAAGCGAGGCTGTGGGAGCAGGGACCATGTGGCTGCTTACTTCATTCTACATCTTTATACATTTCAATTTGACAGTACCAGAATTTTTTGTTGGTTGTCTTACTTTGGCCTCGGGTGTATTCACCACGATAATTGAAGCTTTTTTGGCTACTTACATGTTATCTGGACAGTTGAGTGGCTTTTTCATTCGGTATCCAGATTTTAATAGCTCAAACAAAGTTTCTAGAGGAACGCCGGGATATGGAGACCCTCCTAGAAAAGAGCATTTAAAAGATATTAATAAATTGTGACTATTATCCACTAAAAAAGTGTAAATGGTATTTTCTTGCTAAGGAAAAGGCCTTCTTATTTTATGGCAAATGTTTCTTTTTCTTTTTTCCTCGTCAATATAAAATGCCACTTACGTACCAAAAGTAACCATTTCCCATAAGAGTATTCCAAAGGACCACCTGATGAAAGAGGAAAGAAAACAAATTAACACCTCTTTGGGGTTTATAAACTGTGTCGAGAAAATTTAGTCCAGTTTGTTTAGTTTTGACCATTTATTCACTTTGAAACTAAACTTTCCGAGCGAAGAAATTATCGCCTGAATGGTAAAAAGCTCAGCTTCAGAACAAGTCTCCTGCGTGTGATCATTCAAATTCATAGCACAACCGATATAAAATTTAAGAAACTGTTAGGCTGAACAGTTTTTTAAAAAAACTCAACTGCAATCCGCTTACGATATCCTACAAATGGAAAGTTTGTTTGAAGGCTTCCGTATGGCTGAATTTTGCTAAAAGTAAAATTTTGTGACACGACAATTAAATTAGACTAGGTTCCGTAAAACGCATTTCATATACCTCAGTACTTAGCTGTGACTAAGTAACATTTCAAGGAACTTACACGTCACTTTGTGTATCATAAACGCGATCAAAGAGGGATTCAACGGCCATCCACTTGACTGGAAGAAGCCCCTAATTGAAGATGTATCACAAAATTAACATAAAGAGAATGGTGTCAGTATGACTATGATTTAGGGCCTGTATGACATGAGAAGAGGGTGCCTCTAGCTAGAGGTTAGAAGAACCGTACCTCGTTTTTCATGCACAGTAAGTTTAACATGGTAGGGACACTCTCCCTTACAGGTTTACATGGGCAGAAAAGTTGCTTAAGTTAAACTTAACAAAAAGTTAATTATTGATTGCAGATTTCTCGCTCTCTTTCTGGGACTGGTTTTCGGTTATTTTGACTTCGAGGGTATGACCCTCCTTCATAAAATACTTTCTGTCAGGCTCGTTTTCTGCTATTCTTTCGAGTTGATATCTACGAAAATATTCGTCAGGTTTCAAGCTTGCAGAAAGAAGGTAGGGAAGCTGTACCCCAAGAGACACCGTCCAGGGCCTGTAAAACGAACTACGTGAAACAAAGGAGAAAGGAAACTCAGCTACCCAGGATGGCAATACTAATAACGTGTCATATAAACAGGGTATTTCATAAAAAAAAATGGAAATTTTAAGCTCGGGAAAGACGAAATTGCTGATCCTGTTATAAGTTAGCTCAGTGTAACGTTGTGGTTATTCGAAAAAGGCAAAAAAAGAAGGAACCTTTGATATTTACTCAATGCTCAATCAAATAAGTTAACGCTCAATGCTAAAAAGTCAAACTGTTATCTTTCGTCCATATCAACGTAAGTTGAACTACTCGGTTAACATTGAAATTATTGATAACTGTACTCAATTTCCTACCACCCTTCAGTGTGAAGACCATGTTAAATATCTTGGCGTCCTATTGGACAGTAATTTAAGCTGGAAATTTCATATTAACAATGTTGCATTAAAAATAAGCAGAACTGTTGGTGCTGTTGCCCGTCCTAGGCACTTCGTTCCACGTACAACCCTTTTAAATATTTATCAATCATTGATATTGCCTTATCTGACATATGGTTCGGCGGCTTGGGGTCAAACTGCCAAAACCCATTTACAAAAAATTCTCGTGCTTCAAAAACGAGTCCTTCGTTTGATGTATTTTTCTGAACCCAGAGCCCATGCTGTGCCTTTATTTATTTCCTCAAAAATTCTACCCTTACAAATGTTATGTGCTGAAAAACTATCTTCTATAGTGTTTGACGTCTCCTGCATGAATCCTCCGTCTAACAATTGTGATCTCTTTACTAAAGCTAATTCAAAGCACAAGCATGCATGAGACCAGGGTTTCTTCGTCTGGAAATATGTCCAAAACTTCAAGACTGAATCTAAATCAAGATTCTTTTTCCAAGTTTGCAGAGCTAAACTTTGGAACGAAATTCCTAACGAATTTCGTCAACTCTCCAAAGGAGCTTTTAAGAAACATTTTTCATGACTTATTGCCCTCGAAAATGGAAGCAGAGGACGATTTTGTTGAAATGCCCATTCTCCTACAAAAAATGACAAGTTCTGCAGCCTTGACTAAATGCACTAATAATTGATAGGTCCTGTTAGTACTAAAATTTGTCTTGTAATATCATTCTGTAAGACTATATATTTTGTAACTTTAGCTACAATCGGCGACAAAATTGTTGAGACATTGTACTCAAATAGGGTAACTTCAGAGAACATAAGAATCCACACCCCTCCCCTGTCCCCTCCATTCAAAGTTGGGATGTTTCTTGTTTTCTAAAGGTAGCTCGAACAGTGGCACAACATTGCATGGAGGGGATGGGGGAGGAAAAGCTATCTTTTCCCCTTTCGAAATCCGGAAAACGTCAAAAAGTACATTTAGGGCGAAGTGTCTCAAATCATTTTGTCGCCCATTGTAGCTTGTTTTTCTGTAATTCTTATTTATCCACAAAGTCTATTTAGGTTACTTTACAATATCATCTGATATGATTGCTGTAACCTTTCCTCTCCGCCCGCCTCGTCTAGCTTTTGCTATTTGCGGGCGGAGATGGCAAAATGATGAGTATGAAAATAAAGTATAGTGTGTGTATATACTCACGTCTGTTGTTTTTCTGTAATAACCCTTTAGATGCACGTCTCTACATAGACCAAAGTCTGCAATTTTCATGGTATTATCCTCAGCAACTAAAACGTTTCTGGCCGCAAGATTACGATGAATACACTAACGAAAAGACAAAAAATTTGTTATCGACCTTAGCCTTAGCTGACGACTTCTCTTTCCATGTATACCGAATGGCTTCAGGAAGATCGAGCCCTTGGTAACTCGTAGCTCGCGAAAACACGAATCAACGCCCGTTGGGTTTGATCAATACTGAAACGCAACCTGAACAATGAAAATAACAAAACTGAACAGAACAATGACAAAAGGAATCTAACATCATGATATGTTTTCACAGTTAAAGTTAGGTTGGAAAAGGATTCTTGCCCAAACTACATCACTGACCCCTCAATACTCCCACCACATACGCACACACATCTCTTCAAAGTTCTTGGTCTTTAACCCAAATTCCACCAAGTCACTTATTTCACGCAGTGCATGGTGTGAGTAAGACGCGCTCACTTATTCCGGCAGTCATCTGAAAAATACCACATCTTGACACACACCTTTTTCGAAGACAGATATTCCATTCCTCTGCAGACCTGATAAGAGAAGGAAACCAGGTCCATGTACGTCACTGTAGAACCGTTCTCTCTGACTGGCCTCCTGTCTCTCAATGCAGTTAAGGTTGTGGCGATTTCCCTGGTTGGCCTCCTTTTTCTCAAAAATTGTCTTAAGTTACCATTTGGAGCGAATTCTACAAGTACATAAAGTGGACCTGAAAGGGAAAAGGATAATAACAGTTTAACATCGTTAAAATGCATTCTTTAAAAAAACAAGTCTAATTTTGCGAAATCTTGGGTATTCTATTTTTTGTCTTGCTGAAATGACCTGCAATGTTCTTCGGTTAAGTAATATATTACTTCTGAATACCGACTGTGATTTAAGCAATCACAAGTGCAGAATTAAATAAAAGTGCTTTTACTTTTTGGTTCAAGGCTGCATACGATGCTCTTATGACCAATTTTCAATGTTACCCATAATGTTATAACAAAAAGATTCCGCAGCATGGCAAAGAGTGTACCTTCAAGTTTACAGAAGGAATATATTTTTTCTTGTTTTCGGTAAGGGAGAACTCCAATTTCTCCACTCAATTTCTCCGTCAACTAACCTCCTTGAGTGCAGGTGCCAATCAAATTGATTATGTTCTTGTGTTTTCCAATGGTCTTCATTAGCTCCAACTCTGATACAAGATTTGTGTGTTCCTGTTCTGTGGCATCCTCTGAAATGCAGGAGTTGACATTACAGTCCTAATGTTAAATAGTTAAGTATTATATGACCTCCACCACGCTAGTTTGCTTTCGTTTGAAAACGCAAGCATTTTTGGGCCTTCTGGCCTTGTGCTCATACTAAAACAAATGGAGGTTTTAGAAGACCTCCATTAAGTTCCTAAACACTTGTATATTTAACAAGTCAAAAATGGCTGGAAAAGACGGACGTAACACTGTTACTTGGAGTAGGCGCGCTTATTAATACAAATATCTGAGAATAACCTGGCGACTGCGTAGACTCATTGCCATGCAGGAAGGCGTTTTCGATATTTGAGTGTGGACTACCAGAAACAACTCTAAAACGATTGTTTCGATGTGGGGCTTTCGAGGCGGACGCTTTCGAACACGTTAGTATAAAAGTGCCTAAAAACCACGAGTACCGGCCTGTTTTTGTCTCATATTTTGTTGTCTTCTTGTTGTTCTTTTGTTTCACTTAGGCAAGGTATCAAAGTTTAAGTAGCTATTTTGCAGTGGGGCATACATTTTTAAAACATTCCACTTGCTCAATCCATCTCACAATTAATTAGCAAGAGATGGAATACTTCGTTCTTGGAAATAGACGGGGAGATCACGGTAGTTGTATCGGAAAAAATTGGAGAATCCTTTTCCAAACTACAGCGAGATGACAGTAGGAGAATTAGCGGCTACGAAATGTTTAAGGGAAGTTCCTTCTTCGGGTGTGTATACAAAACCTGTGCTAGGCCACTGATAAGCCTGTGCAATGTCTTACTCTGTGGCCTTCCGCGGCTATGGCTTGTCGCGCTGCTTCCAACTTTTTTCGCGCTTATTTCATCTCGTTCAATTCGTCAAATGATGGCAGTTTTTTTTTTTTCTTGAGTTGATTTCTAGAAGACTGTATCAAAGTAAATAAGGTAACTTTAAATAGCATCCGTTCTTTTGTTTTCGTGGTCTGGCGGTATGACCCTATTTGCTTCTGGTCCTGGGTTTTATAATATTTTCCCTTTTCTTCTCTTTCTTTTAACTTTTTTTACTTTTTTATTCTTTTCCTTTTCCTGTTCTCTTTCCCGTCTTGACTTTTTTCTATTGCGGCAAAAAATACAAAATTTAATGATTGCAATGGCAAAGCTAGGTTTTATAAACAACACCTAAATACAAAACTCACCTTTTAGCATTTTGACCGCGACATGGCATCTGAAAGGCATATTGGGAATTCCAAACACCTCCGCCTTCATGACCCTTCCAAACGCGCCTTCTCCGAGAACTTCCTGCAGGTTGATAAGTTCTCTGCCGATCTCCCAGTTTTCTCCCACTGACATGTCTACTTCGGAAACCTTAGTGAGGTTACGACTTTCCTGACGCATCATTGGAACAGTTAACTCGCAGGATGGTGAGGAGCCAACAACGGACGAGTCCTGTGCAATGTATTCCACAGTTACTTTGCTTTGTTTGGGACTGCAATCAAGACCATATTTAGCTCCTTTTCCTAACTTCTTTTTTCGCTGGTGACAATAAATGCCAATTCCAAAAAATACTACAAAAACGACGCAACCAAAAACACCCGCTCCAACAAATATTTTCTGCTTTGATGATAATGTCGATGATGATGGTCTTGGTGAATCTGGATCGGCAACAGAACGTTGGTTACCTTTTGAAGTTGGAAAATGGGTAGTGTTTCGAGCAACCGGCGGCCACGGTAAATATTAATTTTCGCTCATTTCTCGGTCATACGTACTTATTAGTAAGTAACTAAACGTAGTGTAGTTTGTTTTTCAAAAGGCCGCTTGGATTTGGAGAAAATCGACAAAATCAATTTTCGTGGTCGGAGACTTGAAAACAATCAAAATTTGATGCAAAATGAGGCGGTCTCAAGACTTCGCTCGCACGCAAAAAGGAAGAAGGCGTTGTAAAATATTCCCCGATAAATCAGTTTATAAAGGGTTTTACCCCTAGTATGGCGGTTAATTCTTATCTTAACGATAATGTGGAAGGTAAAAAAATTTAATTTTAGTTTTGGTTCTTTTTCGACTCAACGAAGTTTAAATTTAGACCTAAAGCCGCCATTTAATTTTTAGGCATGTGCTACACCTTGGTTTTTCCTGAAACTCAAGCTATAAGTTATTTAAACATTGTGCTAAAACATATGTAAGAACTGGCTTGGGTAATTTAATTTGCAATTCAGACGAACCTTCTGAACTTGAACAAATTTTGAGTGAAATACGACACATTTGCATAATTCACCAACGCCTTGCTGTTGCCGAAAGGAATCATTGGCCTTTCTTGAGAAGAAACCTGATGTACCTCTATAGTACGATAGTTAATTTGCTAACATGCAATAGAAATTAACTTACCTTTATAGTTTGGGGCACTTGTTTTACTTTTTCTACTCTCGAGCTCCAAACTTCTGCTGGCACTAAGGCATTTTGTAATTTGACCTCTAACGAGAGGTCACTGGAGATGGGCCATGTTATTAAAATGTCACACAAACCGAATGAGCGTTATGATCTAAATTCTTAAGGTGGTTGAACAAAATATTTTAAGAGAAAAATATGTTTTTAAGACATTTTCAGCGATTTGAAAGATGTTCTTACCATTTAATAGAATCAGTTACAACATACAGGGAGGAAGTGTGAGAAGACAAGGAGTGGTGTTGCGTGACAACGAACACCATCCTTCGAACTTGAGAATGAGCAGAAAACAAAATTGTTTATACATTTCGTTGATGTTTCCAAAGTTATTTGTTCAATTATACAACAACTGAAAGGTTACATAGTCTGGCTGCCAACAGTACTTGATTTAAAAGCGTAAAGTGGTGGTCAGTTTCTCGGACACCTGCGGGTGTGATAACAGGTCTAAAAGCATTAACGATTAAGGAATTTGGAAAACATCAAAATCATACACCCTGCCAGTACACACGAACACTGAGTAGGTTTTAAACTTTGGACAACCTCGATAAATGTTCTCGGAAGCGTTTTTTTTTTTGTTTGGAGTGAAGAATCACAATAAAAAAATCATGTTATTTCATACGTATATTTTAGGGAAGGGTGGCTCTGAATCTTACTTGGGTACTAGCTATTAAGACTCCGATGGAAAGGCCGTTGAGGGGATAGAAGAATCCGTCGAAAGGGTTACGCTGTAACTCTTGCTCAAGGATGTTAGGTAAGCAATTCGCTCTAAACCCTGTCTCCCCCTTTTCAAATGCTTGCACAGGCCAACCAGCATTAAAAAACTTACATTAGCACACGCAACTAAGGAAATATTGCAAGGTAATTGCCATTGCAATGGGGAAATGCTATCCAGGCCTTTTGGAGTGGTAGATGAGGTAGCGCTATTTTCAAGTCTACAAACCTCTCCTTGAGTGTGAAGAAGACTTAAGGCATGAGTTTCAGTTTCTAGTATCGAATATATACAATGAAAGAAACTTGGGGTCTAGAACGCTGAACTGTTCCTCTCTCATTCCTTTACCACAGGATACGTCAAAGTATATCAGACAATTTCCTCCTTACAGCATGCTCGGCTACTCAAACAAGCTTTAAATCTGACACTAAAATGATATACCGCAGATACAGCAACTTAGAAAGCTGGAATCAAACTTGTTTACCAATGGGTTAGGTCCTGACGTCTTCAAATTCACGTTAAAAGGACACTGTTTAGGCAAAAGCATTAAGTTTACTTTTCCAGTAAATTGCGTCTTGCGGCCTTTGACAACGGACCAGGGGCCCGTTTGTCCAAAGTCTCTCTAACTTTTCGGGCCCGAAATCAAATATTCAAATCGAAATAAAAGGAATAAGAGGAGCGCGGGTCCTGGCTAGCAAAAAACTTCATTTTTTCATTAACTGATAGTTTTATCATGTCAGATGCAAAGCTATTGAAATTTCTATCTTGCATGTGAACAACAACAGCTTTAGGGGCCCCTTCATTATCGGGACTTTCGAGAATTGAACGGGCCCAGAAGCGGATGCAGCCTCAATATCCGCTTCATTGATGACTGCCAGAGAAAGTTATGGTCGGAGACTTTCTTTTCAAGAGTTCTGATCATGAATTTCTGACGAGCCAGCAAGTTTCCGTCTCAAGACCGGTACCAAAGCGCACACTCAGAAAATGGCGAATGACCGAGAGTAAAACTGAAAAAAAAACGATGTGAGTAAAGGAAGTAGTGGTAGTGTTAGTCGATAGTTGACAGGGGCACCCAACGACAGTTTCCTAAGATTAAGAACCCTTTTAGGCTATCTAAATCACTAAGTTCTTTGCGGCGTCATATAATTATAACAACAGTTCGGTCATCCACAGGGCAACTTGAGTAGTCTTTTCGATCGAAATTACAAGGGCTTTAATATTATTTTTTTCGAGAATTTCGAAATTTTTTCTGATTCCTTATCTATTACAATTTCGTATCCGAAAGTTTTAATTCCCTTTATATGGAGAAAAACTGTCTCGTGTAGGACAGTCACCCTCCCAGCCGAGAGAAAAAAAAAACATTGACCCCAACCGGCCTTCGCTCATGCTCTAATTCTCTCCCCTTGGCTATGCGAGCCCTTTACCGATACGGATCGGATTTGATTCAGACGGTCGGACCGAAATGTCTCCTTCCATGTGACAAAATTATTTTCCTCAGGACCAATGATCTGTATCCTGCTTACAAGCACGATAACCAAACTCGCAGTGGCTTTGGTTGGGTCTTTGCAACTGGAATGTATCTTCCACTGGGCACGTGGTTTTCCAGAAATTTCAAACAGGAATTTTTGTTCAATCGAAAGCGCGTAAAGTGCCTACGGAGAAATGTTAGAAACCTTGGAAACCTTGTGAAAACTGAAATTAAAAAATGCGGTGGAACCCCGTTGATGCGACCAGCGTTGGGCCATAAAATCCTGGTCGTGATACCGAGGTGGTCGCATTAAAGAGGTCTTCAAAATAATAACATGACTCGGAGATTTTCATGTCTGGGTGGAAAGACTATGAGAGGTGAGCTGAGGCAAGAGGTGGTCGTATAAACGGGGTGGTCGCAAGGCGGGGTTCCTCTGTATATAAACAGACTGAAACAAGAGTTTGACGATCGAATAACAATGTTCAGATTAGAAAAAAATATATATACTGAAAGATAATTGCAGAATGTTTACGAAAACTGTTATCCAAAAAAATGGAACTTGCATATGCGAGAGGAGAGACAGCCGCCTGATAGGTAATATTAAACGCGGTGAAATAGCTACATACAAGGCAGCGCGGGGAAGTTGACGCGAAAAATGATATTTTTGGACTTATTTAGTATTGTATGGAAGCACACTTTAAGAAAACTTAGGGAAAAAAGCATGATTTGGATTGTTAGTAGAATAATATGCTACTTCTGGCAAGAACATTAAAAAGAGGCGTCGCTCAAATGGTTAGATTGGGAAGCCTGTGAATACTGTCACGCAACACTTTTGACCAGACTTTTATTGACCCAAGAGATATCGGCAGCCGAAAGTTTCACCATCAAAATCGCAGTTTTTGTGAGACCTAGCATTTTTAAATGGCAATGGATGTAAAAGTGTGACTGCGGAAAAGAAAGGCCATGTTCTGTTTGAGGTTATTTTCACGCACCACGTTTCCTCGGTTGATTAGCATGGGACAAGGCGCAATGCCAGTTGACAAGAAAAGGAAAACGCATTTGAGGTAACAAAAATTATCGTTTCAGTACAAATGTGTTTAATACAAGTGCGATTGTGAGTTAAGTTTGTTTTGGAGAGCCCAGCCATCGTGACTTGTCGAGCAACAACCAACCGACTTTCTTGAAAAGTGTCATATTTCAAGCAAAATTTATTCAACTTCAAAAGGTTCGTGTGAAGTACAAATTTAATTACCCAGGCCAATCTTACATATGTTTTAGCACAATGTTTAAATACCAAATGACTTGAGTTTCAGGTAAAACCAAGGTGTAGCACATGCCTAAAATATAAAACGCAACTTTCAGCCTGAATGTAAATTTCATTTAGTCGAAAAAAAACCCAACTAAAATAACATTGCTTATCTTCCAGATTATCGTTAAGATAAGGATTCATCACCAAACCAGAAGTAGAACCCTTTATAAATTGATTTATCGGGAAATATTTTACCCCGCATTCTTCCTGTGTGCGTGCGAAGTTTTGAGACCGTCTCATTTTGCCTCAAATTTTGGTTGTTTTCAAGTCGCGGACCACGAAAATTGATTTTGTCGATTTTTTCCAAATCCAAGCGGCCTTTTGAAAAACAAACTACACCATGTTTAGTTACTTACTTATGCCTATCTATGGACAAGATATGAGCGAAAATGATTTTTTGACTGTGGCCGCGAAATTTCGATTTTGCTCGATTTTTACAGACATTTGCTCTTAATTAAGTTTGATATAAAAGCAAAAAACAGTTCTACCTTGTGTAAATATCATAAGGGGAGAGAGGGCCTTTCGACGGATGTTGACGAGTGCTGACCGCGGGGGAATGAGAGCAACAAAATGGCGGAGGCAATCGGTGGCAGCGAATGCACAAGGAAAACACAAGTTTGCTAATTTATCGGTCTTTTTTGAAGTACGACGGTCCTTCTTTCATCGCAACAGCAATATTTGCAATATTT